ATTTTACCAGGAAAGTGTGCCCCAATGAGGGGACTCTCCAAGCCCTCAACCTGATGACGTGTGACGAGTCCCTCTGGCGTGACGATGGGAAGCTGTCATCATGGTGAACACCACTGATCACCACCTTACACGCTGAGCCTTGGCAGACGTTGTTAAAAATCAGGAGCAGACTTTACAGGACTCACAGGTGTAAAAATAAACTATGGGAGACCCTCCAACCACATTGCATGGTGCATAGCCTACAGGGGACCCGGTGGAGTTCTGAGTGCAGTGACCAGCTGTCACCGTGTGCTGGGAGCAGGAACAAGCCCTCCTTAGTGTTCCTGGAGTACTGGCTGGTGGTCAGGAGGCTGCTGATTGGACAGAAGCTCTGTGGCATTTTTCCCCCTTTGGAACTCCCTGGCCCCTAGTGTGGCCCACATGACAGTGGAAACTCCTCTCAGTGAAGCCATCCAGGATGTCCTGGCAAATCTTCTCACAAGTAGTTCTTAAATGCACACCTAAGTGTCACAGGTCTCCTAGACTTTGGTGTCCACTCTCCAGAATCATCTGGTGAAAGGCCAGCGGACGGAACGGGAGCCCTCTCCTTGGCCCTGGGCACACACCGCTCCTTCTGCACCTGGTCCCCATTTCTCAGGCTTCTTTGTCGCACATTCGCTTTCCTGCCCTTTACTCCCGGAATTAAAGGACTGTACTGAGCGAGGCGTCTCCAGGTGGCCTCACTCACACACAGGTCCCCACGTGTGCGTTTCTAAAACCATCAGCCATTAACACGGCAAAGGCAGAGTCAGCGGGATGCTGCGGCATCGTCTGAAAGTTGCCAGTGACATATCCATGTGATAACAGGGGAGGCAAGACAACAGTCCACGTTTCAAAGCTTCAAGTTTTTAAGGAAGACCTACCACGGGCCCCGGCAACACATCACCTGAAAATAAAATCTCTCTTTGCCAAGAAATGGAAGCTGTAGCTATAGACTTACTGAAATCACGCTGAATTAAAGCAAATATAACATAATTTACACACACGCGTGCACACAGAGCTTTTTATACTTGATTTTATTGTTTGCTGAGTTTTTATTAAACAAGAACACCTTTGTGTGAAATCATTAATTTACCCGTGAGTTTTAGCAATTGACTAGAAACACTGCTTCTGAGCCCAACATGCTTCACCACGGCCTGGTGTTGGCTGGGGGTGGGCAGAGCTTGCAGATGAGTGTGAATTTCCCGGGAGGCTCAGAGAGGCCTGTCTTTTGAACATAGCCCTTAGGAGGGTCTGTTCAGGCCAAGGCTGATCCCTCTGTCGTAGACAGTTGCTTCTTTCTTGCAAACAGACAGCTGTTGGGAACCCACAGTTGTTCCCATTCCTTTAGGAGCAAGACGGAGAGTCAGCCCGACTCATCCTGACTATTGCTGGAGCAATCTCCACAGTGTCATCACAGGATGGACCGGCCTCCAGGTTTAAACCACCACTACCCCCCACCATGAAATCCAGCAGGCTTTAGTGGCCATTTGCCAGGAATTATCTTCTGAGAAGAAAAGCTTTGCACTGTTGATTTTTACAGCTTATGATTTGATAAAACAGATGCAATTTCCATTTTCACAGTTCCAAGGGTTCTCAGCCATCTCTCTGGAGACTTGGTTTGTTTTCCTATTTTCTTTCCATTCTTCAGCACAGAAAATCTGACCCCATAGGACCTGGGCCTAATCTCAGCACACGGTCACCCTTGTAACTTCTAAAAATACTGCAGTAAGCCTCTCCAAGGTGAGTGTAGGGAAAGGGAAGCAGGGTTTAGTGGGAGCTGGACCAGGAAGAGCAGTCAGTGCCCCCTGCAGTAGGATGTGGAAACGAAGCTGGCCCAGAAGCTTCCACTGCGGGACAGCTTGCTGGGACACATGGCCTGAGGACTCCCTACCCTAGACTTGGAAGCAGAAGTCTAAAATTCTATGCAGGGCTGAAGTCCTTGATGTGCCTCTCTTGGGCCACTGCTTTTATTTAAAGTTGTATGCATTTCCTTATCTGGTTCTTTTTAAGATCAGCCAGAGAAGCCATTCATGGGAGCCTTGCAATATGAAAATTGTGGTGTACGACTCATTTCCCCTAGTGTGCACAGTCTCTTAGGGTCGTCCATATTGTTGTTGGAATTGTGACACATCAGATAATTAATTAAAATGAAAATTTAATTTCTTTTATAAAATTTGTTTCTTTTATAGGTGACCCCGGAGGAGGAAGGGGAAGGAATGTTCTTTCCCTGCACCTGGGTTTGCAGTTCTGTTTTTGTTTTTTAAAGACCTTGGATCAGTACTGAAGGGGTGTTCTCACAAAACACTCCTAACTTATGTGTGCAGCCCGATTTCATGGCCAGGAGAGTATAGAGGCAGGCAGCCATCCCACCTCCCTTCCTTCTGCTCTGCTCACTTGGGTTCAGCTAAGTCATAATATGTGTCTGTCTTTGAATCCCCCGGAGGAGCTCATCCGGGCCTCCAGGTGTCAGGGTGGAGCACAGCCAGCTCGGCTGCCTCGAGACGAGATTCCGATGGCCTCATCTTCAGAGCAGCGTGGGCTGACAATTCGGCTGCTCAGCATTCGCAGGGCCGTGGTGCTGACATGGACAAAGGATCCTAAAGTGTCCACTGCCCTCAGAGATGGCCGAAAGTGCAAAATGCTGTTGGTCTTTTACTTTGGGCACTGTTCCAGGGAAAGGGAACAGATTGACAACGAGAATTCACACTTAGAACGTCTATTTTTGGGGTGGGGGGGCATGATGAGTTGCTCTTTTATTTAGAATCCTCACCTTCCAATTATGGTAGGAAGTAAAGCCGGCCGTGAGCTCTCAGGGGGCGGTGGAGAAAGGAGCCGTTTCAGTTGGTAACAGACTCCCTGGTTGAATCCTGGCAGTGGGGAAGGGACGAGGGAAATGTCATTGTTGCAGCAATGCCACAGGGCACCCGAGGTGGACCAAGGGGCTCCACGAACCTCCATGCAGAAAGCGCCATCCTCTGTACCACCCTACCAAGCCAGTTCCGCATTTATGGAGCACCTTCTATTTTCAGGCATGGAAGCGACAGTAATACATGGAGCCCCTCTCCTGTGAATTACAGCGTGGCTGTCTGTGTCCTCCGAAAATTGATTTCCATCCTCTAGAACCATGACAAATGAACCTCCTTTGTGAAGTCTCCATAACCAAAACGGGTATTTTATTGTGGTAGTCCAAAGCAGACGGAGACAGAAAGTGGGGCCGAGAAATAGGAGGCTCCTGTAACACCCCAAAATGTGGGAACAGCTTTGAAAAAAGTTGAGTACAGGCTGGAGTTTGGGGGAATGTGCTAGAACTACAGATACCAAAGGTGATTCCGGTGAGGACTCCAAAAGAAAGGAGAGCTGTGGAGGCCACCCCTGTCTCCTCAGAAGAGACATCGTGGGGAACAGATGAATACTGGTGAAAAGATGGGGGGAAGACCACTCTGGGAAGGCCTTGGGCAGAGGCGAGGCTCGCGTTACTGGAGACGGGAAAGGCAGATCATTGTTACAAAGCACTACATGACTCTGACCATCTGTTTGTGCTCTCGTGTGTTGCAAGTGAAGAAACTGAGTATGTAACTAAGGAGGTTCCCAGGCCAAGTGTCAGAGGACTGGGTTGGTTCCTCCTGGTGACCAACCCAGAAGGTCCCCAACGTGCTTTTGACCTTACAATGGTGTGAAGGCGATGTGCGTTCAGTAGAAACCACACTTTGATCTTCTCCTAGGCTACCAATGGGATGCTGGCGGCCACAGCTGCCAGCCAGCCACAAGACCACAGGGCAAACAACCGGCAGTCTATGTCGTAGGCTACTGCTGTGACGCTGGGTGTGTTATGTGAACCAGATGCATTTTCAGCTTAGGATATTCTCAGGGTTTAACAGGAAGTCACCACACTGCAAGTTGACAGGCAGCTCAACATTAAATGTGAGGAGAGAGAAAGGACTTCATGGCTGAACGAGAACACCAAGGATGTGGCCCTCAGACGTGAACCGGGGTCCCGATGGGCCATGTCCATGGGAACCAGTGTGAAAGGAGACTAAACGAGAGGCAATGAAGGCTTCCGACATTCATTATTCCTTGAGAAAGGGAGGAGGCATCCCAAAGGCCATTCAGAGCTCATCAAAACTGCTACTCTGCTGGGCACACACCTGTCATCCCAGCAGCTCGGAGGCTGAAGCAGGAGGATCGGGAGCTCAAAGCCAGCTTCAGCAAAAGTGAGGCCCTGAGCGACTCAGTGAGACCATCTCTAAATTAAAAAAATAAAATAAAATAGGGCTGGGGATGTGACTCAGTGGTCAAGTACCCCTGAGTTCAATCCCCAGTACCCCCCGAAAAAGTAAACAACAACAACAAAAAACCCCTGCTTCTCTTATTACAGGCACAGAATGCACCTGCCGGAGGCTGAGGCCCCTCCACCTGCTCCGCAGGGTGGGACCACAGCCTGGCAGAACCACAGGGGCAGTGCTGGAGCGGGCGGGGAAGTACAAGCCCAAGGGCAAGCCACCATGTGGAGCTATGTGGGTGACTTGGCTACCCCGGTGGGTCTGCTGCCCGAGGGGAACTGGAACATCAAACCCCAAAGAATCATTCTTGAACCCTGAGACCTAGTGCCAGTCCATGTGGGAGACACCCACCGGGAGCATGAGGCCGGGCTTGACAGTACGTCGCCGTCAGAGCAGCACCACGGGAAGCACACGGGGTGGTGCCTTGGAGTGAGACGGTGGGAGGACCATCTGCTTTACGGCAAGACCAGAAGGGGGTGAGGGCTGCACGGTTCCAGGGCCTGACTGTCCAGGGCCAGGTGTGGGGTCAGGAGCCACAGTGGGTGGAGGGGGCCTGGCCCAGGCATACTGAGATGTCCGGGAGATGTTTCGATAGCAATCTCTACTTGTTTGGCAAAATATCATTGGAAAATGACTCAAATGTCAGAGGGAGATTGAAAAAAAAAAAAGTAAAAGAGAAGAAGAACCAGGCGTCCAATCTTTGCTTTCTGAGAGAAAAGGCTATTTTAATGAGGACTAACTTTAAGGCCTTAAATTCCCATACACGATCCACACTGTGACTCTCCAGACAGGAAAGGGGTCATCAATCCGCTCACTGAGTCTGAAAGGATTCTAACAAGCCACAGCAGAAACCTCATAGAAAAACGGCTCAAGGTCACATCCTTGGCGTGTCCGTCGAGGGCGAAGGGCCGAGTCTCGCTTCCCGTGCACGATCCTGGCCCCAGCAGTTGCGCACGCCCGTGCTGGTCGCCAAGCCTCAGGGTCCCACGCCGCCCTGGTGCCCCGTCCCCCTGGAACTGCAGCGAGGATCAGGTTTGGCACGTATTTTAAATAACATTTTGCTTCCACATTCACAAATCCAGGAAGCAGTTCTGAGAAAAGGGGGGCTGAGGCTGCCTCTGAGAAAAGCCTGGATCACCCCTCCCGGCTGGGCCCCCGGGTTCCACGTGGCCCTCGTGGGGGCTGTGACGCGCTCCTCGTGGGGCTCTGTCTGTGCCTTGGCGTTGGATTTTATTGCTGGTGAACTTGATGACCTCACTTCTGGCCAGTTAGTCCAGGAGGGTGGCGTCAGCAGACCTGGGCCTGGAGGGAATTCTGTTTGGCTTCCTCCAGACGAAACTGTTCAGTCTGTTCCCGGCTCTGGGGAAGGTGAGGCCCTGGGAGAGCCGGGCGGAGATGCCCCTGTTGCCCACCCAGATGGGACACGTGTCAGTCAGGCGGCAGGGAGGTCCCCAAATCAGTCCCCAGCCTGGCCTGCTCCTCCTTTCCTGTGCCACATTCCTTTAAAGCCCGCCCCCCCCAACACACAAGGGGACACCCCCTTTCCTGGGTGGTAGGAACCTCCCCTCCAATCACTTTCCAAAATTTTACCTCTGGTGCTAGATGAGAGAGGCGACTGGCAGGCAGCGGTGCAGACACACAGACCTGCCTTGCACAGGTATGGGTTCTGACAGACGGACCGTGGGCCCTGCTCTGGGGTCATCACTGAATGTCACAGGGACTCAGTGGTCCCAGAAAGGACCCTCTGTTACAGCAACACCAAGGTGAAGGCCAGAGGTGTCATCTTATGACTCACATTTATCCTGCCCGGCCTGGGCAGCTTCTGCAGCACCTCAGCTTCTCCACCCCTTCTAAAAGTGCCAGGTACCATTTCTGCAATCCACTGATGACAGGCGAGACCACCCCGGCGGCTGGGAGGGCCTCGGCCGTGCCTGCCAACTCAACAACTGAGGGCGGGGGCTTCTCATGCTGTCACACCTCCTCCTGCAGATGTCTCCACTCCTCTCCCAGGTGAGGCCAGCGGCTTCCCGATAACAGGTGGGGGAGAGGCCCTCGGGATCAGGGGAGGCCTCAGGAGTCCAAAGGAGAGGTGTCGCGGAGAAAGTGTCCTTTCTGTGCTCAGACCTCTACCTGGCCAGCCCCCCGTCTAACAGGGATATCTGGATTCATGGGTCCTAAACATTAGTTTAGCAAAAAATCTGGTTTCTGGTACCCAAAGAGCTTAAAGTCCCCTTCGAAACGTGCATACAGGCGCCGGATGTCTCGTTTGCTGATGCCCAGAAAGTAGCGCTCCACCTTGGTCCTGTTATACACGGTGATGCCCGGTGGGATGGTGGGGTAGGACACCAGGTGGTCGATGCCGGCCTCCCTCAGGATGTACGGGGCGTCCTCCTCCAGGGTCTCGTGGTGCCCAATCACACTGTACTTTATCTCACAAGGTGCACAGAGCTCGACGTACGTCACCCAGTGAATGATGTGATCCCCAAACTGAAGGTCCAGCCATCTGTGGTTTGGATCACCCAGATAGCGCACGAAATCTTCAAACTGGATCCCCCGGGTCTCTGTCCGGTTCTTTCTGTATTTCCTGATGATGCCAGGGGCGATCTCGTGCCGGTACCAAGGCTCAAAGCGGGGATTGTGAACAAACTTGTCCTTAAAGGCAGAAATGAGTCTCTCGAAGGGATCTCTGACAATAAAAAACTTGAAGTACGTTTTCAATCTAAGAGAAAGAAACAAAATGAAAACAGGAAGTTAACTGCGTGCTCCTGGAGCCCATGGCTGAGGGGGTGGGGAGAGCCAAGAGCAGAAGGGGCAGCTCCCACAGAGAGCTGAACTCTCACCAGGCCCAGCCCGGCCCGAATGCATGCCCTGCATCTCTTCCTTAACCCACTGCGAGATTTTGTGCGTTGATCCTATTCTCAACCCATTTTTACAGAGGAGAAAACAGAGGCTCAGAAAAGCCACCAGGACTCGTTCCTGGGAGTCTGGGAAAACCCTATTTCTTCAATGCTTTATTTTAATGAATAACTCAAAATTCCAAGAAACTTTTAACAATTCTGTTGTTGGACAGAAAACTGTCAAGGCAGGAACTCTGAGTGAGCCAGGGATAACCCACGGGCCTGTCCTTCAGGATGCAATTCAGCATTGTCAGGGGAGAGAAAATCAGAGGGAAGCCGGGGTGGGAGAAAACGCACACTCCAGCCTGGGTGCTCACGGCTGCCCTGAGGCCTGGGGCGGTGGCGAACATGACAGCAATCCTGCATCATGGTCGACACTGCACGAATGGAGTGCCTACTACGTACAGAGACTGCCTGCCCCAGTTGGCCTGCCTTGACTTGCTGAGTCTCCCCCAAAGGCCCCGGGGGGTGGGGGGAGTGCTCAGGAGGTAACAGGTGGGTTTGCACCCAGAAGGGCTTCTGTACTCCATCAGCCAGAGCCAGAAACAATGAAGGGAAGTGGCCCAGGCGGGGAGGCCCAGCCCCAGGCTGACGTTTAGTGCCGCTCAGCTTTCCGGGCCCTTTAAACCTTGCTGTCCGGGGGCCACTCCACAGCTGATGGGAGACCTGTTCCATTCACTGGCTACGACTCCATTCTAGCCCAAATCAGGAAGCACGCCCCCCCCCCCCACACACACACACACTGCCTGTGTGGATCCAGGTTCCCGGGGGAAGCTCCCGTGACACAGGCACAATGCTTTCGGAGGGGGAAGTGAGGGTTCCGACAACCCGAGTCCCCTTCTCATGAAGAGAACCCACAAAACTTCACAGAACCAAAGCACGACAAAAGGGACCCCTCCTCTGTTAATAAGGTAATGTGAACCGTAGGGGCCCGTCGATGGCAAGGCGGGAAAAGGTGGGGCTGAGAGTGTCCGCACGTGGTCCTCAGGCAGGGGCAGACCCACGCCCGGCTGCTGGCCCCAGATACTGCACCCTGTGGTCCCCGTGGTCCCCGGGGAGTGATCTGGAATTCGCAGCAGCGAGTGCGACCTGAGCTGGATTCTGGCCGACTTTCTTCGCGGGCTCCCCCCCCCCCACCCCGCTCTCACCGCTTCTCAATTCCCACTTTGCTGAAGGAGGAGAGACGAGGGAGGCCGTTCTTCTCATGGTCGTGAACGACGTTTTCGGGAATCTCTTCGATGGAAGGGAACGCTCCTAGGACACGAGAGAAGGCGTGTTGGTGGCCTCAAGATGACCCCCTTCACCTCAGGGCTGCACATTCCCCGGGGCACACGGGGCAAACCCACCCCGATAGCCACGCTGATGTCCTGAATTCCAATTGCTTCCAAGGGCAGGACGGGAGAGGGAATGAGGGCTCCGGGTTAGGCACACACCAACCCGGGCAGAGAGGGTCCTGGGGAGGAGAGGGCAGGGGACAGGGCAGACGTAGGACAGTGTCCACCCTGGCAAATCTTCCGTTAAACAAAGCTTGGGGTATGTAGACAGAATTCCTAAAACCAGTGATACTTTAAGACTGGGAGAATCGCCAGGGGGCAGGCCTGGGGAACGTGGTGCCCACCTATGCCCACGTGGTCCTCATCCTGCCCGGCAGGCTGTACTCTGGCAGCACCACACCCCAGACCTCGGTGGTTCCTAGACAACCTCAGGGCATCCCAGAACAGCACCAAAGGCGACTGGTGCTGGAAAAATCTGGCTGAAGTTCCCGGCACAGTGGTGCACATCTGTAATCCCAGCAGCTCGGGAGGCTGAGGCAGGAGGATTGTGAGTTCAAAGCCAGCCTCAGAAACAGCGAGGTGTTGAGCAACTCAGTGGGACCCTGTTCCTAAAGAAAATACCAACTAGGGCTGGGGATGTGGCTCAGGGGTCAAGTGCCCCTGAGGTCAATCCCTGGTACCAAAAACAAAACAATACAAAAAAAGAACGCTGAATTATAGAGCGTGACCCAGGTAAACAGCAGGGGCTGAAGGAGGATGGGTGTGTCTGAGGAGGTGGCTCTGGGACCACGCTGCTGCAGGGAACCTGCTCGGTGTCCATCTCAGGGCTGGTGGCCAGGCAGGCCTTTCTTTTCCCCAAGTAGAAAATGGAAATAAATGCTCACGATGCTGAGGAGGGCCTAGCCAGGCCCCTGCCAACCTTCACACTGAACTTGGGCTAACCCTGTCAGGTGGAGCTCCAAGTCCTGGCAGGGAAGACTCTCGTGGCCTCGCATCTAAGCAGGGCCCACAGCGTCCCTGCCTGCTTATTCATTCATCCCAGAATACCGAGTCCAGGACTCTGTGCCGCCCGGGCTGGCTGGCTGGCTAGGAAACGACCAAGAGGAGCAGCTGCTGAGGGCACCGCAGAGCTGGTGCAGCGGTGCATGCCCACGATCCTAACTACCCGGGAGGCTGAGACAGGAGGATCAAGTTCAAGGCCAGCCGACCCGATGCAGTGAGACCTCATTGCCAAAAAAAGAAAGAAAAACTTGTAGAAGTGGGACGGCAGAAGAACCAGCTCTGTGGTCTGCACCTAGGCCCACTCACCCCGTCCCTGTCGGGACCTGGAGGACAGCCACCCGGCCACCCGTAGTTTACTAGGTTCCCTGTGGGCCTCTCCAGCTTTTCCCTCTGTCCAGTTTGTTTTCATTTTTTAAGAAACTTAGAGATTATATAAGCCCATGTTTTTTGTTTGCTTGTTTGTTTTAACAAACAAGATGAAGATTTCCAGGTGAAGCCGCTTAATCAACAACGAGCTGGGTAGTAAATGTCCTCTCAAAAGCAGTTTAATTTTGTTGTCATCAAACCGACTGTGACTAGGTGCCGAGGTCACGGGGGGTGCTTTTTACTTTTTCCATGTTTAATTTAAGCTAATCTTTAGCTAATACATGAAAAACCTAGAAACCACACAGATTGCTGGGGTGCTGCTGGGGGTTGTTTTTGTTGTTGTTGTTTTGGTACCAGGGGTTGACCTTAGGGGCACTTGACCACTGAGCCACACCCCCAGCCCTATCTTGTATTTTATTTAGAGACAGGGTCTCACTGAGTTGCTGAGCGCCTTGCTTTTGCCGGGGCTGGCTTTGAACTCTCGATCCTCCTGCCTCAGCCTCCAGAGCCGCTGGGATTCTGGTGGTGTTCTGATATACACCCTCCATGGCCACTCCTGTTCTGCCCTTGAAGTGGGCACGTCTTTGGAGGCGCTGCACACTGCCGTGGCTGACTGTGGGCCTTTTGGTGTACTCCTCGCTCTCAACTTGATTTCTAACCTTGTTCTCTGATCCGGAACATCCTGACACGGTGCCAGAGCACGAAGAGTCACCCTCTTCCTCCCCAACCACCCTGTGAGCAGGCAAATGTCAGCCAACACTGACCAGCACCTCTGAGAGCAGCCCAGGAGCTGCGGCAGGAGGACACGGAACCCCAAGACCTGCCCGCAGGCCCGGGGTCTGACTCCCGACCAGGAGTCCACTGCTAGTGGTTGGAAAGAAGTCCCTTTTCAAGCTGAACTTGACAGAGTCCATGATCATCTTGGATCAGCTCAGACTAACTGGACTTTAACAAACAAATGAACCTGCTGTCTGAAGGAGCAGCGAGTAAGCCTAACTACAGGATATGAACTCTCTTTTCTGTGATTCATTTGCTCCCGAGTGAACATCAGATTTCCTGCAGCAAGCTAGCCTAATCCTCTGAATATATACAGGTGCTTAGTGGAAAATAAGGTGCCGTTTCTTTCTACCCAACTGGCACAGGCTCCTTGATCTGCAGGTGAGCAGGCCCCAGATTCATGCAGGGGGCTCTCCTCCCAGGATCTGGGGTGTGGGCCCTTCTCACTACAGAGAGGGCACCTGGTGACCTCAGAGTGTGGTGGCCTTGACACACTCAGCATATGACTTTAAATGCATCAATATCAGCCGGACGGTCAAGCTGCCTGAGGTGGGGGTTCCACTGGGAAAACCAGGAGATCCTGTCGTTGGCTCTGTGCCTTTGAAAATGTGCACCATCCACAATGACCCCACCAGGGTCAGGTGGAGCTCAGGGGCAGACACTTGCCTGGCCTGCATAATTAACCCTCCCAACTCCAGGAGTACAGCACCCACAGGGGAAAAAGGGACAACAGAGAACCATCTGGAAGGCTGACAGTCTTTTCAGGAGAAACCACTCCCTCCTTTGGCCCCTCTCCCCTGCCCAGCTACTGGGGCCCTTCCCCAGGCAAACCCTGATGTCGCGGTGGACGCACCATTGAGCACGATCAGCACTTTCTTCCACTGGGTGTTGCCCACCTTGGGGGTCTGGCAGAACAGAATCTTGTGCTTGTCGCAGACAAAGATGCGGTCCAGGACGAACTTGGAGACCGCCGTGTGCGAGAGGTTCCTCAGGGCCTCGTCCCGGCAGACGTTCCTGATGAGCTCCAGGCGCTCCATATAGACCAGAGGGGCAGCCGGAGGCATCCTCCCGGTGGGCTGTGGTGGAGGAACAGAACAGGCACCAGGGCTCATGGGGGGAGCGGGTCAGAGGACAGCAGGGCCCAGCAGGAGCCGGCCGGGCCTTCTCTGCCCGTCCACAGGACCTTTTCTTTTCTCCGATTTCATTTGCTCCTGAGTAGACATCAGGTTTCCTGAAGCAAGCTGACTCAGTCCTCTGGATATGTACAGGTGCTTAGTGGAAAATAAGGTGCTATTTCCTCCTACCCAACTGGCACAGGCTCCTTGATCTGCAGGTGAGCAGGCCGGTCCCCTTCCCACGGGTGGCAACCCCTCCTTCCAGCCCCTCCCAGGCCCTCAGTGCCCTGCTAAGTCCCGGGATGAATCAGCCCAGGAGGCCAGGAGAAGAGACTGGGTTCCCGAGACTTCCCTTCTCCAGAGAGCGGTGATTCAGAGAAACAAAAAAGACTCAACTTCCTGGCAGGAGCCCGCACCTCTGGAAGCTGCTCCAGAGCCCGAGAACCTCCCCCCCAACCCGGAGGCCCCCATTGGGTCCAGCCTTGGCTCTGTGCACGGCGGGCATGTCCTTCCAGAGCTCCCGGCTCAGTCTGGACTCGGTGCTCAGGGGCAGCTCAGGGTCTCAGGGAGGCGCCCGGAAAGGCCCAGCTGAGGAGGGCAGAGGCGACAGGCAGGACACACAGGTGTCTCAGAGCTTGTGCCCACTGCTGGCGTCACAGCGGTGTGTCTGCCCCAGACTCCGCTGAGACAGTGAGCCGGTTCCGGAACCGCTCCGTGGGCCCCCTCCAGCTGCGGCCCCATTTCTCGGCCCGCTGGAACACATGGCTGCTGCCGCTCCGGCTTCCCTGGCGGCTACTCAGAGCTTCTTCCCGGGATCTCGGAGCAGACGGTTCCTCCAGTCAGACCTATCCAGAGGGCCAGATGCTCCTCGCTCTCCTTTAAAACGCACGGGTTTCCAGGCAGTGCGCTCCAGGGGCGGTTGCAACAGCCCGTCCTCCTGGGACACAGGCTTCTAGCACACCCCACAGTAGGACGTGGGACGACACAAGTGCCACCTGTCCCCTGGCTCCCACTCCTCCCTGGTGGCTCTACCGCGACCAGACTCCCCGGGGCTCAGCACTTCTGCCCAGGCCCCCAGCCCGTGCCCACCTTCGGATCCTCGGCAAAGCGCTTCTCTTCTCGCGACTTCCCGGCTTCCGGCACCGTTGTCAGGAACAGAAACTCCTGTTTGGCACTGTACCCTGGAAGACAGATAGGTGGAGATTTCTTGTCACCAAGAAACGGGATTACAGATCGACGGGACAGAACAGGGGTCCCAGGAGGGAATTCAGGGGTGCTCTACCGCTGAGATACATCCCCAGCCCACACCCGTTTTTTAAGATAGGGTCTCACTCAATTGTTTAGGGTCTTGTCAAGTTGCTGAGGCTGGCCTCAAACTTGTGATCCTCCTGACTCAGCCTCCTGAGTCACGGAGATGACAGGCATGGGCCACCACCATGCCTGGCTTCTCTGTGTTATTTCTTACAACTGTGTGTGCCTCCACAAGGATCTCCAGATTAAAAAAAAAAATTAACCTACAAAACAAAAACAATCAGCTTTCACATCAGTTTATGAAGCTGTGGTACTCAAATTCAGACTAGAGGAATCTTATCAAGTGCTTGTCCAAACTAATAAATTATAACAGTAGGTTTTGCAGAAATCTGTGGGGTAGGATTCGATCATAATCTTTGGTGTTCTGCAAATAAAGAAACAGGTAGTTTCCAAAATTTTCAAAGCCTCCAAATTGGAAAAAGTAGATGTTAAATAAAAATTAAAAAGCTGATTACACAAAAGGATGTTTCACTTTAAAAAAAAAGTTCAAGGTCTACTCCTTTTCTGTCACTGAGAGCCGCGCTTTGCTTTGGTAGGTACCGCTGTGCCCGCAGGCCCCAAACCCCTCCATTCAGCACAGTGAGCTTCCTCCCTGCCTCCTTCTCCCCTCGCTGCACCAGGAGGAAGAAGACACCCCACACCCCCACCCCCGCCCCCAGTGCCCTGACCGTGGTGATGTTCTGTCCCCCGCCTCCTCCTGGCTGTTGGGCCCCAGAGCCAGCTCTCTCTGCACATCTTTAGGAACCTCACTAAGAGCCTTTTTCCTTTCTTCTCTTTTTCAGTGAAAATGCAAACTTAGCCAGAGCTGTCGGACGTACCTCCCATAAGGATGGAGAGCACCGTCCGCTGGACAAATGACAGAGGCCTCAGGGCCATCGGCCCGAACCCCTGAAAGCCCTCCGGGGGCTCTGAGAGCGATGTCTGTCCAGCCTCTCCCGCCACAGCCCGGTTCCTGGTGAGAGCGGACGTGCTCACGGGGTTTTGCGGAAACCTAAGCTCCCTTAATAACATTCAGGATAGGGGACGAGTCCTGAATTCTAAACAACCGATTCACCAGGGAATTTTTGAAAAAGCAACCTACTTCACACCCTCAGAGCACACAGAATGGATCCTGGTGGCTCAAGAGCTCCTCAGCTCCCAGCAGCC